GAAATATTTCAAAATTTGCCTTTTCAGTACTTGTTCCAATGTCTTTCGAATTCAAAAATTCAAGCTACCAATATAATAGATTATTTTTCACATTTTCAGGGCGATGTAGACATCAATAGCCTCGATATGCCAGTGCACGTCGTAGCAACAGCTGTAAAAACGTTTTTTGGTTGCCTTGCTGAGCCGCTGATCCCCTTAGATCTGCACGAAGATATCCTCGTCACTGTGGATGGGGCTGATCAAAATTTAGATGTAAGCACATTTCAGAACATTCTACGCATTTTCTTATATTCCTGCTTTCTAAGGTCATTGAACGGCTTCGCTCGGTTATGGGTAGGATGACGCCTGTGAACCGAGAGGTGTTGTTATTCTTCACATCACATTTGCAAAAGGTCAGAAAAGTTCATGAAATTGAAGGAAAAGTGAAACAAAGAATTTCAGGTCGCTTCCTCACCCAGCACTGCGATGGACTATCATAATTTATCCAAAGTGCTATTTCCAACGCTGTTCAGGTAGATTTTCTGACATGTTTGCGAAAAAAAATCCCAATGTACGAAAATACCAAAAAATGAAGTCCTCAAAAAATTTGAGATGTCGGTCCCCAAAAAGTTTCTAGTTTAGCTTCCCCACATTTAAGCAGGTAAACTCGACAACCTTAAGTGCCCTGCACAGGTGACAACACTTGCGTGTAAACGTAAATGGGCATGGGGCGCGAAAATTGAAAACTCGCACTTAATTCACAGCGTAAATTTTCGCCACTACAAGCTTTGTTCACGCGCAGTTGCTGTCGGCACTGCAACGACACTATATGAACGTCTAGTTCATAAGTATACTTAATTTTTCCCTTCAACTATAGGAAACACGCAAAAAACAACTAGAAATTTGATTTTCTTCACATGCAATTCCATTTCAAAACAGAAATTACTCAACTAATTTTAGCCTACTTTTGCTTTTTATCGTGTGACATTTGCGTTTTGAACAAACATTTGTTTCTCTGCATATAATGTGTCAACTGCGTAGTCCCTTTTCCACATGCGCACGCCACGTCAGAGCTTCGCGCCACGTTTGCACTATGTGGGGTATAATTGGCATTATCGATTGCAGGTCTGCACGCGAAGCTTTCTCGCTGCAGGTGCGCAGTTCCTACGCAAAAAGGAGTGCGCATGTGAAACAGACCATATTACCAGTTACTTTAACAGGAGATTATAATCCATACATTTTTTATATTTTTTTAAGATTATATGAAGGCTATTACTTTTTCAGGCCACAATTTAACGACTTCATCGAGATGTCAACGGGCACAGCGAAATTCCAGCGAGCCGCCGAAGTCATACTACAAAATGCACATGACATCTTTCAAGCCAATCAAGCAGATGCGAATCGGGTCTAAAAGCATTACGGGCATGTATCACTGCTTTTTATTATTCACTAATATCGATTGTATTTTTAACCAAGGTCACCGGTTTGATGAGCGGTTGTGTGTGTCAATTTATGTAGAATGGATTAAATAGTAGAATCTAGACCTCCAAGCCGTTATTGACTGTGGGCGTGGCTGTCCCATTAGCGCCATTACAACTAGTTTATTCAACTCTCTTCTAGTTTGTACCTCACTTTTTCTGAACGAATTTTGATGTCATGGGAACGACTAATTAAAAACATTTTTCAAGCAGATGAGCTTATCAGATACTTGAAAATTCTAAACTGTGCAGTTGTAAATCATGCATTTCTTCTAGTCCGTCTTTGACCTTGGATTAGGTCTCCTGTTGTTGATGATTACATAATCAGTAGTCTTTTCAATTGTAAGACATTATCTGTGCAAATTGTATTTTTTGTAGGTAAATCTTTACTATTTGTCTATGCAGTAAAAATTATTGAGAAATGTAATGTATTCAGATTAGAAAAAAAGACACAAGGAAAAGCACTGAACGTTAGACCCAAAAAGACGGTTGGTGTATGGCAGCGAAGCGGGCGCGAAGGCGACAATTGTGCCCTTATTACCGTTGGAGCGCATTGGATGTAGATACATACCCGGTCTCACCATAGCCCCTAGACCGGTTATGTAAAACTATCTGTTTCAACTAGTATTCTATAGATGGAACGCGAGCGGTGGCAGCCATGAAAAACAGGGCACGCGCTGCG